TTAAAGTGACATCATCGTGTCTGAATATTTTGCGGTCTTGGTCAAAATAAAGCCCATTTTGACATTAATTGTAAGTTGGAATCACACAGGTATAAAGGGATACTATGGTAACCTACATGGGCTATCCACGTCTCAGTCATAGAGGTTTTAATATATACCACGTAAACTTCACTGGGTACCTCCGCTAAAACCTGGTGAAAAAAAAAAAACACGAGTCTCATGTTACACGCTTGATTAAAGAAATGAATAGATTGGTCTCGCGATTTTTCATTAAGGCCTGATGTAGGCAAGGAAGCACTAGCATTAATTTATACGCTAGAGGAGTTTAGAATCGATTCTCCTTTCTCCAGTAATCTCTTCAATATTATTCTAGTAATAATACCCAGTTCGATATAAGTTACCCCCAGTGGCACAGCGGTATGTCTGCGCTATAATTCGGGTTTCGATACCTGTGGTGGGCAAGGCACAGATAGCCCATTGTGTTGCTCTGTGCTTAACTTCAAAAACAAACCAAAAATCATTCGTAGCATTTGCCTTTTCTACTTTTTAAATGAAAAAAGAAAATCCCACCTTTTCTAATTCACAGGCTATGTTATGCTTTAGATATTATATACATTATACGTTAAATATTAATGCTATAATCATATTATAATATAAAATAAGATATATGTTATATATTAAATATTCTAAAAATAACAATTGCTTATTTGGTCTATTTGTTAAAGTTATTATCGTCCAGGAAAGATAAGAAACAAAAAGATAATATGTGAAAGCATGTATTTACACTACTAGACCAAGTATTGCTACTTTAGGCCTAATTGTATCTAAAGTGTTACAGCACATGCTCTTGGAATTCCTCTAAAACCTGAACCCCCCAATAGCACAGTGGTATGTCTGCGGACTCACAACGCTAGAAACCGAGTTTCGAAACCCGTGGTGGGCAGAGCACAGATAGCCCATTGTGTAGCTTTGTGCTTAATTACAAACAAACAAACTAAAACTTGAGGAAAAATAAGGAATCGGAAGTCCAACGTTTCGCGTCCCTAGATATTTTACCAATATCTGAAAATCATCGACACATAGGTCACGTTACATACACTTGAGATCAATCAAACCTTAATGAGACAGGCAAAAATAAGTACTTTTGTCACAGAAGCGTCAAAAAATAACAAAAAATCACTAAACTTAAGTGCTTAAACATGAATGAAAATTAAGTGAAACCAAAATATTAATATTTATTCACAACCATTTTTACTTGTTTAATATTAGCATGGATTTACAGCAGCAATTTTAAACAATGTTAGAACTTCACTGTATAGTGTTATATACATCTGTAAAACATCTGTAATTCTCCGATAATCATTAGTGCAATCAAAAGATAATTAATTGTTTCTTAGTATCTGTGATTTGATAATCACCTCTAAGGTTTTTGTTAACACCAGATTTTGTTATAAGTTGAAACAATGATCATGATATGTTGCATGAGACCCAGTCTCGGTGAAATCTTATGGCGGTCATGTGTTTTCGATAAATAATTAAAATGGCTGAACACATTATCTTCTACTATTTAGAAAAGTAACAACATCAGGAAAACATCCATTTAAAACGTAGGCCTAGTGGTTAACGTGCCCGTGGTTCAAAGCTCAAAGTTTATGTCCGTTACCGAAAAACGTGATCCGCACTTTGTCGTCATGGGTGCGCTATAAGAATGATGGTTAAATGCCACAATTAAGTTAGTAAGTAGCCCAAGAGTTGGCAGTGAGTGATGTTGATAGCTGTCTTTCCTCTAGTTTATATGTTCAAAGTTAAGGACAGATACATGCAGCGAGAAATTTTGAAACCAGTACACTTTCATTTGGTATACTGTAACGAATAGAAATGAAGTGTGGATTTTGGAGAAGATGGAAAGTTAAACACTATAAAATCTTCTGAGGTATTGCTATATTTGCTCTACAATAAAAAATACCAATGAATGGTACATTAAAAACCAGTTCATGTGTTGTTGCTTCTTTGCACAAGTAAACACGTGGGACTTTTCGATAGTAATGTTAAGTTCAAAACAAAACATACTTACAAGAATGTTGTTAAGATATTTACAAACATAAAACATTTCATTTTCTTCTATGCTGACAGTCTATGAAATCACGGGTAAAAAATGTTATGATACTTTTTTGTGGTATTTGTGTTTCTTAAAACACTAGACCTAGCTTAGGGGCAGTACTGAAATATGATAATGCTAACCCAAAATGGTGTGATCTTCAAGTATTTTTTCTGTTCTAAAGAAAGTCCAGATGTCCTTTTTATATTACCTCATTGTAGTGCAAAACATAAAAACAATGACTTTAAAGAATGACGTTAAAGTGGATGCTTTTGAACTTTAACCACTAAACGGCGGCTTTATTTAAGACTATTTCAAGTCGACCTTTAGTAAACAGAGTACAATATCTGGTAGTTTAAATGGAAATTTGAAGTGAATATTAAATCATAGTTATCAAAATATAAAAAGTTATGCTGTTTATTAAAAATAAACTTCTTATATTTTATCTGTGCGAGTTTGAAAAACATTTGCTTCAACCTACCAAACTCTAGTATTTTGATATTAAATTTTTGGCAGAGTTTTGAAAATATTGTAATGAAATAACCAGTGTAATGGTATAATTCAGCTTGTTTTTTACAGCTTCTGGAGAGGAAAACTTTTGGTAAAAGATGAATAATTTCACTCATCCATATCACAACAAAACAAATTCAACGTGTAGACTAAGTGGCAGTAATAAAGCTATTTTGAAATACCAAAATAAAATAAAAAAGGTCTTTATCTAGGACTATCAAACGAACTTTTATAAATTGAAGTTAAGAGTTTATACTAATCTTAATAACATAAGTGGCTTCAAAGCATGATGGTTCTTTTTCCTTATTTTACCACATCCTAACAAATAGATTACACTGACTTCTACACATATGTAAAAGTAACACCTAGCAGATAACTCTCATGTTATTGAACTTAACGCATGTATGAGCTAGTTGAACAAAACCGTTAAATTTACTTCGTTCTGAAGATTACAACATAGCTTTTTGTTAAGCGTTTTTGATGTGCTATAACAATTAACTTGGAGACCGGTGTGGATTTCTAATTTAATTTAGGTATTTCTACAGAATAGTTAGGATATATCTCTCGCATGTACATAGCAATAATTAATGAGTCTAATGATTTTTTTATAACCTTGAAAAGTCAGTGATGTAAGAAATATGTGAGAAAGGAATAGCGTAAAATTAATTACCAAATAAGAGATTAGTACCAAAATCCTTCACATAAACTACTTCAAAACTATATAATTTACAAGTGAATCACGTTTTAGATTGTGGGCGGACACATGTTCTCCCTTACAGAGTTAATAAGTGATAATATTAAACCTCGTATTCAATGCGGCCAATGTTTCCATTGTTACTACCAGCTTTATTTTTTATCACATATCTGATATCATTTAGCATTAGTTACTTTCAAATTTTCACTATATTATGTGTTAAAGACAAATTTAGAGGGTTAAATATACTGCAATAAAATGACACAAAACTCATTAAAAATTAACTGGTATAACTTTTAAAATATATGTTGAACTCGTGAATCCGTAAATACATGTACTAAATTATTAATCAATCTGTGGATAACAAATTATTACGTATTTCTAATCGACGTTAAAATGTGTTTTATATATATTTCTCATTTAGATACTATACACTTTATTTTGAAGAAGAGCTAAGTATCTGAAAGTCTGCTACAAATATGTTAGACGACATTTGCTAAAAGTTTATTTTCATCTTTCATGTTATGTCGATAAAGCTTGAAATATTTCAAAAAGTGTGTGGTTTTTTATAAATAAGAAGTTCTAAAACATTCTTTCTTTACCATAACTGACAACCATTCACTTGAAGCCACATGTAAAATATACGATCGTAATGAGTTGATAAAGTAAATAAATATTAATAATACACAAGGAACATATTAAACTAAAGTAAGAACATTACATACGTCACATAACTTGTATAACCCCATTCATTACTATCATTTTGAAAAATCTTATGTGTTTGAGTGAATACCCATAGTAACTACAATGATACAAACAGACCCAAAAGTAACATTGAATCCAGGATCTAGTTTTTGCAAAGTATTTAAATGATTTAACAAATAATTACAAAACTTTATAAACAACAACAAAAAAGGAAATTAGATGAATTAATCATTTATCGACTTATGTTATTATATCTGGTTTATTTCAGCGATAGAGCTGTTATTTCAGTGTTTTTAATGTCCTGTTTAATAGTATCCCTTTCCATGGGGACATATGGGTGAGTATAATCTTCTAAAAGTCTACACAGGTAAGGATAAAATTAAATGTAAGTTGATTTAAGGCAACCATATTATAGTGTCCTGTTTAATAGTATCCCTTTCCATGGGGACATATGGGTAAGTATAATCTTCTAAAAGTCTACACAGGTAAGGATAAAATTAAATGTAAGTTGATTTAAGGCAACCATATTATAGTGTCCTGTTTAACAGTATCCCTTACTATGTGGACATATGGGTGAGTAAAATCTTCTAAAAGTCTACACAGGTAAGGATAAAATTAAATGTAAATTTATTTAAGGTAACCATATTATGGATGGGAGAATAATTTAAACAAATATGTAAAGTACAAAAATAAAATATTTACCTTACCTTGTACAAATCCACTAAATAAAATCAGTGTCATTAAAAAAAACTCTCTCCAAGCTTCCATTTTCATGTTTCTTTCCGGCTGAGAACACATAATTGACCAATAATATAAAATTTACTGTAAACATGAAAGCTACGAGAAACCAACTAACAAAAAAAGATAAACTATTTTTTCTTTATAACTTTGTAAACTATTGGAGTGAAGCAAACATAAGTTACGTAAGACAAGTTTGATATAGCGGTAAGTAATTTTGGTATGATTATTTCGGCGTTTTTTTGTTTTTGTTTTCAACTTATAATCTATAAGCCTTACATGACATTCACATTAGAAGCTATCAACTAGCCCTAGCTACGAGCAGTCAACGTTGTCAGTTACTTCGTTCCAATGTCTCGAAGTTAAAGTTGTTAATTTTTTACAATCCGACAAGCTCTTTATCAAATTGGTATTTCAGTTATCAGAGTTACTCTTCATTTGCTTATTTGTTTTGTTGTTAAGCATAAAGCTACACATTTGGTTAGCTGTGCATACAACGGGTATCGAAATCCGGTTTTTAGCGTTATAAGTCTTCGTACTTACCACTGTGCCACTGGGGAGCAATCGCTCTTCGATAAATCGCTGTAACTTTAGAGATTTTAGTTTAAATTGCTTTACTGCTTCAATTATAATCACAAAGCGCTAATAGCCATACATTTACGTTTGGCCTCATCAACTTAGATATTATAAAACTTTAAAGATATCTTTGTTTACAATAATTTATATATTACAGCTGTTAGAGATTACCTTATCAGTTTCTTACTGTGTGTATTTACTTTTAAATGTCAAGAAAAACGCTTACCAAATGCGTGAAGTAATGCTGAAGAGGAAAAATGGTTTTTAATATTATTTACTAATTCACCTCCCCCTTCAATAAAGTAGGCGAGAAGGATAAAAGAAATAAAATTTTAAATTCTTCATCAATTATTTAAAAGGTTTCAGGTTCATTTTTATGAACTCCAAATCCAAATAAAAACACTTATACTTTGAAATATTTCATTTTACTATGATCTTGATAGTAATACAACCTTGGTCAAAATGTTCGCATACTGTTCTATATTGATGTCACTGTCTATATCCATGGAGTAGTTATTGAGTAAGTGCCCGAGTAGTAACAGAGAAGTTGCGTATGATTGGACAAACATGTACAAGTTGTTGTTCTGGCCTGTATAAATCGTTTTGAGCATAAAAGGGTGTGTACTTGGTATAATCTTTTCCGAAACAGATCAACGCTTTGTTCAGAAAATTTCTCTGTACTTGGTATAGAGTCATACTCGTCACATGCCAAATATTATAGGGCGTCAAACTATCCGACTGTCCATAAATGGTATGAAGCAAACGAACATTGTCAGAACAGTAAAGTACCCCCAGTATACTGTATCCAGAATCATGAAACATCATTGAATTACAGGAAACTTTGTTCCAGGAAAGTCTACTGGGAGATTCCTAAAAACTGCTTCCTGAGATGAATTGTTTTGATCAGGGTAACATGTCAAGGTCAAAAGACGTCTTGCAAAACCTTACGACAAGAATGGAATGAACACTTTCATTCCATGGTATCCACAAGAGCAGTGAATAGGAGAATGACCAAAACAAAAAAAGATATTAACCAGTATTCACTGCCGTCACCATGTTACTTGGGCAGAACAGCATGTCAACTTACAGTTAGACACTGGCGACATGTCATCCTTTCAGATGAGTCCTATTTCCGGCTTGTTAAGCCCCCAGTGACACAGCGGTATATCTGCGGACTTACAATGCTAAAAACCGGGTTTCGATACCCGTAGTGGGCAGAGCACAGATAGCCCATTGTGTAGCTTTGTGCATAATTACAAACAAACAAACCGGCTTGTTAAAGTTGATGGTAGGATTTGTGTCCGTCATTTGCCTGGAAAACATATAAGGGAAGACTGTATTTTCCACATGGAACACACAACAGGTGGTGCAGTACATATTTGAGCAGCTATTCAACCTAGTGGAAAACTTCTTCTCATATCCTCCAGGGAAACTTCAGAGGCGATATTTCTGCTATATGATAAGGCAAGATTTGGTAATAACTTTGTGTTCCAGGATGACAATGCCACTGCCCACAGTATGCGTATTGTCCAGGATTATCTCGACCAGAAGAAAAGTTGACAGTTGAAAGTTTGTACTTAAGCACAAAGCTATACAATGGGCTATCTGAGCTCTGCCTACCACGGGTATCGGAACCAGGTTTCTAGTGTTGTACGTTCGCAGACATACCACTGTGCCACTGAGGGGCTCTACAATACGGAATTAATCATAAATAATTATAAGAACGTGGGTATTATTTTTCCTATATAGTGGAAAGTTTGGATTAAAGTAACTTTATAAGCACACAGTTTCTGAATATTTTGTGAATATTATTGTAACAGCACAAGTAGTAGTTAAAATGCATGAAAATGCAACCTGTTACTGTACTGCCAGAGGTGTAAAGTAACACATGTGTGGTGAAACTTTGTAAGTTACACTTAGCTAGTACTAAACGTGTAGCCTGGACTAGCTATTGTGTATAAGAGCCAATTGCTTGAAGTCTCAACCAATTTCCTTTCCTACTTGATCTAGGCTCTATGTACATAATAACCAGATGGCAGTGAAAGGAATGCAACTGTGTTGGTGGGTAAGCTGGGTTTATTGTTTCTAGCAGACATAGCAGAGAAAACTCACCTATAGATAGATATTGGTCAATCTATATATCTGGCTGAACTTCTGACTAAATCAGAATTCATCTGGCCTTACATTTTCGTTCAGACTTATGTTCTTTAAGATTAAATTCTTGATCATCCTGGCTATCTCTGTCTTTGACAAGCCAATGGTGTTCTCCATTTCTCTTTGTCTAACATTTTTACATTATTCTATGCTCCATAATGAAACATCATTTTGAAGAGAACCAATATGCCTTTAACTCCCTTATCAACAAAGAGTTGAATTGTGAGACCGATCATAGAACTCCTAGAACTGATCTAACATTCACCATAGCTGAGCTAATTGGTGATGATGTTTTGCAAGCCAAAGTATCAAATCTGGGTGATTTCACTATGTCTATTATTTAGTTAGCCCTGTAGACTTCTTGAGGTGGGGCAGTCCCCAGTAGTCATAGAGGTTTCAGTGGAGATTAAGCCTCTACTGGACATACTGGTGATGGAGAGACTGCTAAATAAGACCCCAACAGCAGCTGAGGAGCCAAATCTTTAAGTGGCTTAATGACAGACCACTCAACTATCATGTGAAACAGGTGCCAGAAAAGTCCAGAAAATATGAGAACCTGTCTCTTAATTGTCCTGTTGGAGAATGATTGTTAACCAAGCATTGTCAGCACCAGATATACTACTAACAAAATATAACTTTTTCAGAGTTTATATCTTCTCAAGGGTTGACAAGTCTCTGAAAGGATAGCAAAGAAATGAGTTTTCAGACAATGCCTGTTGTCTTATTAATCACCACCACCACAGATACGATTAAGACAAGAACCACAGCAGCAGTCCAAATAAACCAGACAAATATTGTATCACTACCATGGAAAACATTTGCCATCAGTGAAGCGAGATCAATATCAGTTATCAGACTCATTATCATTCCACTGGTGGGACCTAAATGAAGATCTATCTTGAAGATAATCAAGCCAAAATGCCCCATAACCAGCCTCCAGCAGCAGAAGATGAAACTCCTAACCACTCCATCAAAGGTAATTTGTGACCACCCAATTATGTAGCAAATTCTGAAGCAGCACTCTCAAATGATTTCCACCCAATGGACCATATTCAATCAAGAGGAAGACTATTTGTGATGGAGGCCATCCAAACCATAATGTACATAATGCTTGCCAACTGGGGGCAGAGCCAATGGATCCTAGTCAAATCCCATGAAACCATCATGGTTTTGATGTCAGCCAAAAGGAAAGATCACTGATATTTTGGGCAAACTGTTGATGGGGTTGTGGTGAGACCAATTAGACGTCCTGCTTGTCATAGTGTATGTTGATATATATTTTTTATATAAATTTCTTTCTCATTCATTTAAGTGTACATATTGTATGTTTTAATTTGTATCTTTGTGTCTTTCTTTCATTTCATTTATTTCTTTTATTTGTTATCTAACGGTTGTATGTAATGTATTTTAGCCTGTTATAATAATGATGTTTGTATTCTAAGTATACATTTTACATTTGTCATTTTCTACTAATATTTTGTGATATTTGTTTTATCATCACTGCTCCATTAAATGCTGATTTTGTTCTCTGTGAATTTGCCTTGTTTTGCCTGTGTTTCGTTGTCTAAAGATTATAATGTATATTATTGTTCTATATGAAGGGGTTTATTTTGTAGTTGGTATAATGAATTGTGATAAAAAAATTATCCTTAATTTAATATCGACATGTCATGGGTTTTTATTTTGCATTGAGCTGTAAAACTGCACCTTGTGTGTGAAAGTAGACAGCAGTTTACTCTAATTGTAGGCCAGGCGATATCTAAAGGTTACAAACTCACTTATTTTCTAATGGGAATGGCCAGTGATGTGGATATCGATATTTGCTGTGGAAAAATATTATATAACATATTTTATGGAACAATTTTATGCTTCTAAAACTGGGGCAATTTTTTACAAATTCATAAGCACTATAGAATCATTAGAAGAACTAACAGATTTAGCAGATCTTCAACTTGTACAATTCTTTAGCAAAGGTAATCATCCTTTGTTCTGAAATGGTATAAACACACTGTGGTTTGTGTTATTCAATAAACATTGTTTTCACTGTGTGCTTACACTTTGTTCGGTCTTATATTTTGAATAAACTTAATTAACTTCAGAGAACTTGTGTTATTCAATAAACATTGTTTTCACTGTGTGCTTACACTTTGTTCGGTCTCATATTTTGAATAAACTTAATTAACTTCAGAGAACTTCAGAATTAACTTGTAATATTTTCTGTAATATGATTAACCTACCTCATTTTCTGTTGGGAGAAATCAGTTTTACCTGAAAATACCACGCATACAGCATTTTATTTGGTTATGACCTTCAATTGTGCAGATTGAAAT